CAAAGTCCCGGGCTTGCCTCCTGGGGACCCTCGGGTGGGAGGGCCGCCTGTTGCCAATGGCATCTAGCAACCGGACGAGACGGGGTGGGCCGTCTGTGTTCTTGCATTGAGTCTTCTTGTACTGTCTTTCCGTGCTGCCTTCATGGTCGGAGTTGTTGCAGCTGTTGCTCGGGTGTCTAGACGCGGTGTCAAACGCATCTTCGAGATGACAGGGGGCTAGCGCATTCGATCAACCACGCTTTCCCCCGCCCGTGGCCTGACACCTTACCGAGCATACTCAGCAACCCTCTACTGAGGCACACTGTTTCATTTTGTTTGCAGCGTTCTAGCGTCGTCTTCCAGCATTGTTTCCCAGCACTTTCCCGGAGTCATTGAACCGTTGGTTGTTTCCAATTTGACACCACCCAATCACGACTCGCTCCCGACCCCCTTACCTTTACGACATATCATGAACATATAACCATACATAAACTCCACTCAAATGAACAAACTCCCAACTCCAGCACTGAGACGGACTGTATTGTACTGTACATATCCCGCCGGCAGTCTTTGGAGGAAACCTTACACCATCGGATGACGGTTCAAGTTAGACAACTAGTCCGTTCGTTGTCTGACATTATTGGCCGACTGTCTGTCAACATATTGTCATGTTACATAGTATACAAGTTGGTAGTTACTAGCTAGAGAGTTCATTGTAAGTAGCAACAAGCAATCGATCAAACTTCCATCCGATCCCGCTATGCTCTTTGAACTGCGCTACATCACTATGCTTCGCGATGCTATTTTGCCCCGCATCGTGATTTAAACAAACTTTCATTCCTCATGTCTCATATCCATGCTATAAATGCAGCTTCTTGCTATACAAAGTTCTACATCCTCTCGACAGGGCTGAGTCCAAGCACCCTCATACCATTGTACAAGACCTGCCTAGCAGCAACATACAACGCCAACCTAGCAATCATAACGTTCTTCTCTGAGCCCACAACCTGCAAGTGATCGTAACTACTGCTGAGCGCATGTGCCATCTTAAACAAGTAAGTGAGCACCGTAGTGGGCTCCTGCGTCTTGAGCGTGTTGAGGAAAGTGTCCGGCCACGACGCCAATTGGCGGACCAGCTCAACAGCCTTGTCTTCCTTCAGCAAACTCAGATCAGCGGATGTGAGGTCGAGGTCAGCGAGGCTGGGGTCCGCGTCGCAGGCTTTGCGGTATATGGAGCAGAGACGGGCGTGTGCGTATTGTAGGTATGGGCCTGTGTCGCCTTCGAAGGAGCACATGCGGTCCATGTCGAAGGTGTAGTTGTTGATGCGCTTGCCCTTCATGTCTTGGACCATGACGGCAGAGATACCCAGTGTGTCGGCGGTTTGCTCCGGGTCTTTGACTTGGGCGTATTTTGTTTCGTTTGTCTTCATTACTTCGTGCATCTTGTCGCCGACGTCGCGGAGGATGTCGTCGAGGAACTTGGCTGTGCCTTTTCGGGTCGACATACCTGTCGTTGTTAGTGACCTGATAGAGTGTAAGAGATGGGAAGGAGGTCTTACCAAGGACCATGCCGAAGTTGATGTGTTGGCACTTGTCTGAGATGTCTTTCCTGCCCATGAGCTCTTCGATCTTGAAGAGTTGGGCCAAGTGCAGGTCTTGTTGTGATGCGACGACGTAGATCATACGGCTGTGACGCAGTTAGCAAGGGGTAGGAAATTGTAGGAACGGGCTGGCATACTCAAAGTGGTACTTCTCGACACGCTCAATCGCAGCGCCAATGTCTCGGGTCAGGTACAACGATGTACCGTCCTTCTTCTTCACGACGGCCTTGCCCAGCTTCTTGGAGTGCTTTGTGAGGTCGACGATGACAGCGCCTTCTGAGTCCTCGCAGACCTTCTTCTCCCACATGATCTTCGCAGCAAGGTCCATGCTCTCGTCCTTGACTTGGGACTCTCCGCTGTAGTCGTCATAGTGAATGTTCAGTCGGGCATACGTTTGCTTGTACTTCTCGATAGACAGGTCCTGCGCAGGTCAGTATTTGGTACACTTTCCTTGTGATCAGTCCACTCACCCTGAAGCGCTTCCAGATGCCGAGCGCCTTAGGCTCGCCGTCCACCATGCCCTTGAAATATTTCCTAGCCTGCTCGTCGATACCCTCGGCTTCAATCTTCTTGACCTCAGCCTCCTGCGCCGACGCATCCTTGCCCTCTTCCTTAAGCTTCGCAGCCTCGGCCTTGAGAGCCTTCATCTTCTCCGCCTCTTCGTGTTGTACGTTGCTGACCCTGACGTAGATGTCATACAAGTGTCCAATGGGGTTCTTGACGAGTTCCTCCTCGTTTCCGTAGAGATCGAAACCAATAGCCAATACACCGTATTGCTTTCCCCAGTCTCCGAGGTAGTTCATGCGAACGACGTCCCAGCCGGCGCCCTCGTATAGGTTCGCCAGGAAACCACCAATGATTGTGCTTCGCAAATGACCGGCGTGGAAGGGCTTTGCGATGTTGGGCGAACTGAACTCTACAATCATCTTCTTCGCGCCGGAGGAAGGGTCGAGCGGGTTCTTGAGACCGAGATTCTTGTTGAAACCATATGCCTCCTTGGACTTGAGGACCATGGGCAGGACGAGCGAAGTGAGCGTCTCTGGCTTGAAGAAGAAACCAATGGATGTGTTTGTGACAATTGGCTTCTTAACCAGCGGCGACTCGGGGAAGGCGTCTGCCAGCTCCTGTGCGAAGGCCTTCATGTCCTTCTTCTTCTGGCGGAGCGCGGGCACGGCCAATTGCAAGTCTCCATGCTCTGGCTTGGCCGTCCATGCTAGTGTGGGGTATATTATTTGCTTGTCGACGCCTGAGACGGACGAGAGCAGCTCGGTGATGTGGCTCCGGTAGATGTCGAAGGGGTTGAGGGCGGGGTATGTGTTGGGCTGTTGCGGGACCTTGTCGAGGCCGAGCGTGGCGAGTGTGTTGGTGAGGTCCTCCATGCTGACTGGTGGGCGCGCCAACGCGTCGAGGTTTCGGAGGGGATTGAGGGAAGTAGCGTCGAACTGGAAGTAGTCTCGCAGTAGTGTTGAGGCAGGTGCGACTCTGAGACTGTTGTGCCCGTGTGATATGGGCTGGTTGTGTATACAATATCGTGGACGTGTGTGCGGTCGCAGCGGGGAGGAGAGTGTGTGGAGGGTGGACGCGCGCGGGGTGGTGGGCTTAAGGGCAGGCTGTGTCAGTATGACTGGATTACGGCTGCGTCTCTGAGTCAAAGGAAAGGAGAGAGTCGCCAGCGGCCTCGTCAGACAAGCGTTGCTAGAGGGGAAAAGTCTGGCGCGACAAATATTTGCCAGGCTTTGCTGCATGCCAGATGTGGGGTAGCTGCGATGCGTCAATGGTTCGCGAGAGATGCGAGCAATCGCGCTAGTATAAAATTTAGGAGGGGCACCGACATGAGGCTGAACATGGCCTGAGCCCCCAGCCTGCCATCGTCGCAGCCACCCTACTCATCACTCACCATCACATGGCATCACCTCGAGTCAGCTCATCCAAGAAAAAGCTCTGATTACAGAACATATCTATCTCAAAAGTCCAGAACACCACCTTTCTGTCCCATGGCCGATTTCGCCCACCAAAGGTGCCACGGCGTCAACATGAGGCTCGTATACGCACGCCTCACACGATTTGGATCTTGTGCCTCCAGATTCTGACATGCGCATAACCTACAGGGCGGCACACATGCCTGCTGATGTTCCTGCGCGTCGCCGCGGCCAGCCAGGTACAACATGCGCCATGCATGCTCGTATACAGGTCGAGTCAGATGCAGTCCCGTCGATGCAGAAAGACGAGTCGGGCTCATATGTCATCTGTACTTCCACGCAACGACAGGGTCGCGTCTCTTGTTGCGCTCTCATGCTCCGTCTCCTGAGCCGCCTTTGACTGGGTGCCTGACGAAGCCCAGCTGCTCTCTGTTATCGTCGCAAAGCCTGGCGTATTCGAGCAATAACCGCAGAGTGTAAACTAGTGTGAGCGCGGCTGCAGAGGTCGTCGTGTGCTTCTCCGCAGGGGAGGTGTGGGATTGGTTTGTGCTGACTTCTTTGGCGTCATCTTCAAGACGACGATCATGGACGGCTTGTTTTTTTTTGGCGGCGGCGGCTGGTTCTCTTTGTCCTCGTCGTTCGTTCGCTTCACTGGCACAATACTGCCAACCGCCGCCGCCGCCTCAATCTCTTCCTCCTCCTCCTCCTCCTTCTCCTCTACTTCTTCTTGTTCTTGTTCTTCTTCGTCTTCCGACATGCACCAGGAATCGGGGGGCGGCGGGGTATGGCCCGTTCGGGCAGGCACGGCAAACAGGTTTGTGCCGCCAGGCTTTGCCATTACTACTGTCGATATATATGTGCTGCTGATACATTAGGCCCGAGAAGACATCGTCACTGACCAGACTTACCTCATGTCGACTGCTGAATTGCTGAAGACATGAGGTGAGTCCTCGGTCTAGCTAAACCTCACTGTGAGCACGTCCCACAGAAGGTGAGATGGGTGGGAAGGCACGATGGGTGGGAAGGTGGGGTGGGGAGGTGAGATGAAGGGGAAGGCACGATGGGAGGATGGCACGACGGACAGAACAACAGGAACACAAACTTCGCATGTACTGGGTGATGTCTTCGCAGACTTCTGGGCTCTCATCTATGCCTATCCTTTGAAGCTATCCAGTCCAGGCGCTCTAACAGCCTCGGGTCAGTCGCAATGACGGCACTTGTGACTGTGGCAAGGATGAGAGTGTGACTTTGAATCATACGTACCGTTGCGGGATGGCTACACATCCCATGGCATCTGATGTATTTAGGCCGCTCGATCTCAATAAAGAGCGCAAAAAGGAAAGCCCATACGGCCACTCTATGGTCGAAAGCGCTGAAGACCCGTGATCTAGGCGTCTCCCGAGGTCGAGAGAGCTCCAATCGTCTCCCGACATCTCTGCCTTTATGATCTGTCTTAACGCCAATATACCCAGAGATACCCACTACCACGCCGGTGTATCGCTTACTCGGGAAGCTTGCTGGCAGCATGTTGACGTTCACGGAAAGTCTCCCATGCCTCGTTTGACTTCTTGCTCCAGTATGACACATGCGCTTCGTTGGCCTTCTCCCACAACTCAACGTACTTCAACGACTCCCTGCTATTGAGTATCCACGCCCCGAGTTCTGTGGAGCCAATCTTCCGACCATTGTACTTCGACTTCTTGTCCGCCTTGAAACCAGTCCTCTCTGTGACATCCCCCTTCGTATACTGGTAGATGTATTCTCCGTATTGATGAATCCAGTCTCCGAGCTTGATGTCTCGATGGAGCCTGTTATTGGTCCACGTTCTGTGGGCAGCGACAAGGGTCCAAATGAACTTTTCGTCGGACAGGCTCGAGCGGAATTGGACAGCCTGCTTCAACTTACTGAAGTCGCGCCTATTGTTTCCGGTCAGTATTCTGATGTTCTTCAGTCATTTGGGCTCACTCACGGCTTCATGTAGGCGTCCCAGGTTCCCTTTATGGCGGTAGTGGGCTCCAAGGTAAACCAATGGGCTTCCTTGGACACGCCGTTGTCGACGTACTTCGGAATGCAACCGACTACCATGAACTTGTTGCAGGCCTGCTCTCCAACACTCCAGCGCCAACGAATAGGTGGGCGGTTGGAACGATGCCAAAAGCGGTTCCATCCGACCCCACTTGCAGGCGTGAGGGGGCAGAGGACTACGAGGCTCCGACCTTGATACTTGGCAGCGCGTGCAGCGTTAGGTTCGCTCTGGAAGATTGCTGTGCCGCGGTCCGATGGATGGTATAAGGTGTCTCCCAGGCGGAGTTGAGTGTCGTTGACTGCCTTCTTTTCCAGCGACTTATCCATCTGTACGACCTTCTCCTTCGTGATTGCGTTACCCTTAGCTATCCTCACGCCCGATGTGTGCAAACTAGCGGCAATGGCAGATTCCCAGCTATCATGGTGCTTCCAGACGAACCTTCCCGCCTTGTATGCAGGTAGCGGTGGATGGAAGACTCCAGTAATGTCCTCTCGGTCGTCGATGGGTTCGGGTCGGAAGGTAGGCAGCAGGCTGGACTCAGCTGGCGAGCAAGGGTGGTTCCAAGATCCGACGTGTCGACCGGCCTTCACCGATTCCTCATGAAAGTACGAGAGTTCACGCCCTTTATCTGGTCCGGCCCTATTATTCTGTCGCCCGATTATAATGGTATAGTTCGGCGGGAGAGGTCCGTGGTCCTTGATGTGCTGAGAATACTGCTGCATTCCCGTACTATTGCTATGGACGAGGGCTTTCCTCGCATTAACGAGTGGCTCGTCAGCGGGAATGTAGTTTCGGGGTACTGCGGTCGACATGGTTCCGATTGCCAACCTTGCAAGCGTTGTGTATGGCAAATAGATCGTTAGGCTCTCCAGAGGAGGGGATGTAGAAGTAGAGCGAGAGTCTACTCGATCTTGATATCCTATCTAGTAGTGTGGAAGTCAACACAGAGTCCTAGAAAGGCTTTTAGCGCGATCCGGCGCCCTAATCCTGCTGTTTGCTGCGAGACTGGACCCCTAAGGCAAACAGAAGGCACCCGTGGGCCTGCGCAGTCGCACAATAGGCAATCTTTCCGCGCATTGACCGCCCACAAACTAAGTGAGTAGCAAATATGCAAAGCTCACTTCTGTCTCATTTCGCTACACTTACCTCATTACCTCTCCTACATTCTGCTACATTTCCTCATCTCTCGGTTCACACACAAAGCATGGTCTTCATACCAGACGGTCTCCACGACCCCCTCCGAGCCGCCTTCAGCAATGGATGGGATAACTGGCGAGACGGCGCCCCAGTTGGAGTTGCGCCTCACACGCTCGATCCGACTCCTCACGCATGCGAAATCATCGAGAACTTCAAATCCCGCGACGGCCACAAAATCCACTACAAGAAAGGCATGCAAGGTTGTTATCTAGCCGAACACACCATGACGGACGGTACACGAGTCGCACAGATCTTCATCCTCGGGGTGACTGAATGGGGACCTGGGCCTGGCGAGAAGAAGGCATGGGTGCCGTACGACAAGATCATGATCGGTCCGCCATGGAACGCCAACCTCAAGGACTGGAATATCGCTGTCGACCCCTTGCCAGGCGTTGTTCGATGGAAGACACCTCCTTCAGTGGGGTCCGACATAGTTGCTCTTAGCGTTACTGGGCTGATCCAAGCCTTCGTCGACACACCAGCGGACTTCATGTTTGGTAACTTCAAGAGTTTGATCGCTGATTATACCGTGGCCGGTGTTTCTCAGATCATTCTGGATGGCATGAAGAAAGCAGGAGTGTATGAAATATTGGGAAAAGCAGACTACACTCAAGATGAGCTTCTCGGATGTGCTCGCTATCCTATCAGCGGCTCCGATGGTTCCAATAAGCAAGGCGTATACATGCGGATCCAGAAATCGACTGCTAGCGTAGAGTACTGGAAGCCAAACACTTGGTAAGCTATGCATCAGACTCTGTTCTATACAATCGCTCATTCAAGACAGGTATGCCTACGTGGGCAAAACAGAGAACGCTTTCAATATAAGGTTTAAAGGTCACTTTTACGGAAGGCATAAGTATGCAACTCTGAATCAGAACTCAGAGAACCTGAAATCGTTTGCTCTATGCATCTTGAACGATAAGCACCCGAACAAGCTCTATCATCTCGCAGAGCAGGTTCTTCTATGTTTGCTGGGAACCTATCGGTCAGAGATCATGAACGCTGCTTCTTCGACCAATCCGACACAGTTTGAACACAAGGGTAAGCCAAAAATTGCGCGAACATTGTTGGAATTGTACGCTGACCCTTAATTGCAATAGGTCCTCGTTTTCTAGACAACGTAGCAGCTGCCGCGTACTGCCAGAAGATCTCCTTTGCTGTCTTTCAGCAAACTGGCTACGTACCAGCTCTTATCCGTCCAACCTTCGGGATCAGCGAGGGAGCGAATGCGAGTACCCCTCTTGCAGAAATGGAGTCTTCAGTGGAGAAAGCGCTCTTCATCCGTACAGATTATGTGGTGCGAGACCATGACAGTGGAAAGTCGGTTGAGATGGCTGAATTTCGCCGCCACGCAACTAAAACAATCACCTACAACTGGAAAAGTGACCAAACCAGAGGCCAAGCCCACGTGGTCGAAGTTTATGGCTCCTCCACCGATGGCAAAAAATCACACATTCATCTGTTTTCTTTCGGCGGTCAGACGGACGATATTGACGGAATTAAAAACCCCGCACCTGGTGCCAACGTACAAGTTGTTTTCGAAGCTCGACTAGACGGCAAGGCTCATAAGAACTCATGGGCACGACTCCCTTCAGTTGGCATATTCAAGAATTGGGATCAGGCCAACTCTTTTGCTTTGCGGATTGAGTGGGAGACAAAAGAAGGTTCAGGTTTATGGAGATACAAGTACTTGCAAACTACCGTGCGCCTGCACTTGAGGACAGATGAAGATGTACCCGGTTCATTGTCACGGTACGCCAAGGGTATCGCCATCATACATTGGCTGTTCGGTGTGTCACCGGACTGGGACGAGAGTTGGATCCAAAAACCAGCGGCAAGTATGCGAGTTCTGCAGGCAGAGTACAACTTCATGACACAATCCGTTCGGTTTGTTAAGCCGACTAAGCCATACAACGCCTTATCGTTTGCTAGGAAGTCCGGTCAAAGCATCGCTCTCCAGATGGAACAGTTCAACGTCACGCAACGACGAGAAGACTGCAAGCTTGGAGTAACTATAAAGCGCAACAACTGCGACCTCTGCAACTTCTTCGGGTCCGCAAGCTGCACGAAGGAAGGAAAAGACGAGAGAATCTGTACCCTGTGCCGCGAATGGGGCCTACCCTTTTGCTCATGGTCGTCATACCTCCGACCCTTTAGTGCGATGAACGCTTATAACCCTATCTCTGTCGCTACCGCGGACGATGCGGCAATCTATAGGAGGGTTGAGGCCGCTCTCTGGGCTTCACCCATAGCAGACACCACAGGAATGACTCTCGAGCAGCATCTGGTGTCGATGCAAGATGCTGCAGGTACTGTAGACGACGATAGCGACGACGAGAGCGACGACGAGAGCGACGACGAGGGTATGGATGAGGGTATGGATGAGCTAAAATCCATTGATTCGGATGATATGGAGTGATTGCAGTGCAAGTCACTTGTGTCTGCGATCCTATGAGGGTGGCAAAATGGTCAGGAGGTACTTCGGTATGGGTAGACACATGATTGTATGTTCGACAGAAGGATAATTGCTCGCTGGATTGGAGAAAAAATGATTTTCATTCTCAACCATCGAGTGAAATGTTAATTTCGACTTTCTCTACAACAATAGAGCACCCTCACTAAGGAAAAATCTGAATACCACGGAGCCTACATTCCCACTAAGTAATCATCGTCTCCAGTGCCTAGGAAACCTTCTCTACAGTGCCGAACCACTGCTCGTTGTAGTCGCAAGTCCGCTTGCCAGACTGTGGGAAGCACAAAAGGTCCGTGAAGCCGACATTCGCAATCCGGTCGAGCCAAGTACCCATGTTCATGTGTCTCGTCGCTTCTAGATGATACGTCGTGTATGACTGCGGGCTGTATGTTTGGCCTCCTTCCGCTGCCTTTGAGTCCATCTCAAGGTTGTGCACATATGTCCCATTTAACATGGAAACGAAGCGGTGCCGATGGAAGCGCGTCCAGTTTTCTGCCTTGTTACGACCTCCACTGGCGACACCCCGCCATACAGCGCCTGCTGTTTTCTCCGACCAATTCTTGCCATGGCGATTTGTGCCTGAGTAGTCACCGCCTGCAAACGCCTCAGAGAGATAGGCAGCGGGAGGAATGAGGATATCCGAATTTTGCTGCAACTTCGTTTCACCGAAGATGGGCACTAGAGCGTGAGTCGTTGATATCGAAACCGGTTCGATGAATGTTCCATGGGACTCTTGTAGATGCTTTTGTTGGCAAGCATCTCTCACCAAGTCCCAGTTCTGCACGTAGCCTTTATACGAGCGCTCTGGATAGCCCCGAGGAAAAGGAGGAGGTCCAGCAAGGTTCGTGGCGGCGACTTGGTTCCGGCCAGGTGAATCGGGTGGACATGCTTTCCGCGCCAACTCCCAATATGGCTCGCCCGGTCCGATCCAGTTCACTTGAGGCGGCTCTCCGGACGTCTCATCCAAGGCTTGGAAGCTGCCGTACTCAGAGATGGTCTCGTCACCGGGCAGTATTTTCCTCGTCAGGGTCTCAATCTCGGTGTAATTGCTCATCTCCTCCCACGGTACGATGACTCGACTCTCATCCATCAAGTTGACGGCGATATCGAGATCAGGTAGCAAGCCTTCCATGCGCCTGACCATGTCCCACCACGCGAACATACGGTCCGTCGGCGTGCCTGGACCCTGGTTTTCCGTCCTGGTGGCGGTTCCGTTTCTTACTGAGATGCGATGTTCATAGTGTTGTGCAAAGCCACGCATACTCTTTGCAGACACACCCCAAAAAGGTCTTAGATCACGGTAGATCTGATCGAACAGTCCTTCGACAATGACCGCATCGTGTTTTTGCGCATACTCAAACCAGGCGTCAAAGTAAGGTGGTGGATTACGACCGCGCCTTTGTCGGTATGCTTCAGCTGCCGAATTTAGGTCGTATGTTCGTTCTGAGATGAGCTCTCCAAATTTGCGTTGCGCGTCTACCATGAGCTCATCGATGGGGTGCATTTGCTGCGTGCTTGGACCATGATGGATCAGCTTGTCGCGATGTGCGGGTTGTGAAGGCGAGCGGAATTGCCACAGCAACAAGACGCTATTACAAAGAAGCAGGACACCCAAGCCAGCCGTAAGGGCGATGGCATTGCGAAAGCCGATGAATCGCGCGCATCGCTGGAACATGTTGACGTAGGTCTATCGAGTGGCAGGTTGTAGCAGTGACGTAGGTAAGTGCCAAAACAACAAACAAAAGAAAAGTTTGCGATAGGCTACGCCACTTACAACGAGAGCTTTCACCTCATGTTTTGGAAGTTACGTGAAAGGCGAGGTGAAGGGGCGGCCCTTGCGTTCTGCTGGGTAAAGGCAGGTCCGTCCCAACCAAACGACGCGACTGCCGCATGACGCAAGCAGCCAGCAGCCCCGAGAAGGAGCCGTTTTCTGCTCTGTAAAATCCATTTACGCCTCAAATTTGTTGCAGTGTCGTGAGAATTGCGTGCGCGTCGCAATGTTTATACAGCCGTATACTTGTCGTACTATTGTATTAACTGTTCTACACATGGATATAATCGACTCACGACATAGCTGTAAGTACCGTGAAGAGCGCATTAAACGTTGAACGGACACGTTGATTGGGACGGACCAGTTCTTCGCTTCCGATCCCAGACTCCAACAGCAAGTCATTGCGACTCCTACTCCTTGGCGTATTTTCAAACACCACAGACTGTAAAACTCGCTCCCGTGGACGCACGCGTCGATGCTGACTCCGACCGCTGAATGCGCACTAAGAAGAGGACGATGAATACTGTGGCAGTAGCTGTAGAGACGAATATCAACGAGAAGTCCCGTCTTGTACTGTAGTACCTAGCACGCGCGCCCTTGGTCTTACCAAGCTATGACTGGCGCTTTCACTGACGTAGGCACGATGGACCCGTAGAGTCGGAGTTCTGTGTCGCGTACCGCGATCTCACGTCTTACGTGGTACCCATGAGCCGTCAAACGCCTCTCAATAAATGTTCCTACACGTTTTGATGCAAAGAAGAAGTTCGGGTAGTCGCATGGGGTCGTGGGTGCGGTATCCGACTGAGGCGTTCTCATGAGTCGCGATTCCAAAGATGTTGCCTTGTTCGATGCCCGCAACATCAACGGCCTTGGTGCTTGCCAGCGTGACCGTATAGCTGTTTGCAGTAGAGTTGATAGATAGACTCTGCCTAATTAGCGACATGATAAAGCTTCTCTCCAAGACTGGTTGACGCGCAATCTGAAGCGACTGAGATTGCGGACGTACTGACCACTTGATGTCAAAACTTCCTGCAGACGTCAACCCCGGCAGGGTACAGGAGCACTCGGGTGATGCGAAATTCCCTCCACAGGCGCGCATGATGCGCCGTCAGGGGCTCGTAGGTAGTATTCCGGATGGAGTGATGAGGCCGGGGCTCAAATGCCTTTAATTCGAGTTCTCTAGAGCCCGCCTTGACCTTGACTGAATGAGGCGATGTGTTTTGATTGTATGAACACACCAGCGTGAAGATATGGGTGCGGTCTTCTCACAGTCTGACGTCGCTCATGCTAGCGGCTGAACTCGTGTAGGTGTTTGGGTAGATCCAAAGGGTCTGGCTACTAGGGTTGCGTCCGCGGACAGTGGAACTGGCTGCTGTGTGGGCGTGGCTCGCAATCTCTGCTCATTGCCTATGTAAAAAGCCGGTGGCAGATTCTGAAGGCGCTAGGAATTCCATGAGCCTGTACGATCTCGAACCCTGGTACTATTCTTGCATGCGCAGGGTCGCAGTGTACCTGGAAGAGCGGCGATGTGCGCAACGTCGTACAGGATTTTAATCTCCGCACCTCTGGATGTTTTGAGACGGACTCGCATGGGGATCCAGGCGACTCTGAAGTGGCTTCGGGGCGCTCCCAACAGTATGGTCAACGGAATGCCTGGGTTTGCAGACAGATCTGATGCAGATGGAATCGTGTAATCTGGAAGTCATCTGAGACGAACATCCCGATGTGGAAGTTCCATGTTTGCTTCTCCTCGGGAAGGGAGCGGCACGCCATGCGATCAACTCACATGGCTATGGTTTGATCACGCATGCGTTGGGGTCGACGGAGTCGATAACAGATATGAGCAGTACATCCCGAGTATCGCTTCTGATGAGGTAGATTCGAGAACAAATTGCTGATGAGCCACTCGATAGCTATGAACTTCAGTCGTGAGAGAATGACCATGCATTGAACTTTACGCATGACGCGGACGCAGCGATCGAGTGGTCAACAAGGTAATCGATAAGTGGCTGTTATGAACGTGTAGCTTTGTAATAGCGAAATGGAGTAAGGGAAGCGCAAGCGTCTGAAAGAGGATTGATGGAGTGGGACCTGGACAAAACTTCGGCGAGGTTTTGCATCTAGCGGTCAAGTTGACGAGTAGGTCCCAGATTGTCGGATCTCGTGATAGGAAAGAGCCTGTCCAGTCATCTGGCTCCGGTTGCTGTAATCCGCTTCCGCGAAAGCACCACATCATTTTCAGCCTCCAAGGTCCGACAAATCAAGTCTTTAGTAGACCGCATACGGCGCTAAAGTGAGCAGTCCTTACCGTCCTTCCTTCCTAAGCTCTCACGTATGTTGCGCAAATCGGATGCGGCCACTAGGAGGCGGGACGAGATAGGGGACAGGGGCGCCCTGTCAAACGACCGGTCGTGCTGGAAAACCTCAAAGCCTGGAGGGAATGCTAGACCACAGACCAGGGTCTTAAGAAGTAAGATGTCTCGAAGTTATCGATGATCCAGAGCTCAAGAATATACGAGTGACAAACATAGTGTTAACTCGAAGCCAAATATCGGCTATGATGAAAATCTCGTGTGAGCAGATCTTGTACACAAGGCCACACATGATGGGGGTGCGGCAAATTCCTTTTGGAACCCTGCAGAACCGGTTTGCGTAACAACGTTCGGAAGACAGACCGGGAGGACGGCAAAATCGAGGTAGGGCGTGTTACACGATCCGGTAAAGCTGGGTAAACAGCTCTCCATGAAGCTGACAGATGTCTAAGATGCCATGTGAGAGCTGCACGTAGCCGTTCGTGATACGAGGATCAGCTTCCGAGTATTGCTATCCTGGCACGCATTGACTCGCGGAGAACTTCGGAGCACATTGGTGATGGCACCGAGAGTTGCATCGAGTTCTTCGGAAGAGGTTTGCGGAAGTGATGTTCCTGATACTGGAGGTGGCTGCCAAAAGGGCAGGCGCGCACGGACAATATCCTTGCTGAGGCTTGAGGTAAGAACTTGTCTTTTTTCGCCAAGCTGATGGCGATGCCGCAAAGTACAGCGGCGCGTGTCACGCAGGCTTATGCCAGGGCGATGGGCCGGTAATTGGTGGTCTGGCAGAGGCCACGCAGCTATACCATGACGTTGGTCCGTGGTCGTGCCTCGGATCGGCAATCGTGCGATGCTAGCCGTAGGGCGGACCGGCGCTACTGGCTGTGAGATGCACATCAAGAACGCCATACTCCAGAGCTCCATGGGCGACATGATGCTGGCGGCAACGCTAAGCCGATGCGCAACACGCACAGGGGCGGCGTCAATCACCATGCTAGAAAAGATGGAAGCAGGCGGACGCGTTTTGGAACTGGGCGACACTCAGCTCAGACCAATAGCGCAGGGCGGCAAGCCACGAGAGACCTGCAGCCCACTGCAACAGGTAAAAGTCTTCTAAATGCTGGAAGTCCGAGGAGTCTGTATAAGACGGCGTACTCACCGTCTCTGAGCTGGTCGGTTGACTACAGGAAGCAGACTGCCGCCCAGAAGTCCAAGGCATTGGCTCCAGACTCCTTCATCAAGTGAGACAATCTTCATCTCCTCCGCCATCGACGACGGTCCACGACGTCCCGAAGCCGCTTTCAGGCTTGTCTCCAGTCTCCAGCCGTGTGCATAGAATAGTGCTTGACGTCGAACACGGCAGCCAAGGAGAGGTACGTCGGAAGTGCTCCATTGATTGCAGAGGGTGTGGTCCTGGAAAAATGGCGCCCCATTGGCGGTTCTGTCGTCAATGCAAAGCAGCAATGGTGTTGGATGAGAGAAGACATGTCTGGCTGTGTGGGCAAAGCATGGCTAATATACAACAGCAGCGTAGAACGTCCCAGGACTCTGACAAAGCCGGCGCCTTCTAGAGGCCCCAAAGAAGCCCCTGCCCAGCCGATATCGACGCTGCAACGGTGAGATAGAGGCACAGCCGCTGTTGGCATCACCTTGTCAAGTCACGCCAGGCACGACTCGCACAGCAAGAAGTGCAGCGTCATCGTACCACGCCACCAGCAAACGGCGTAATAATATCCCGCACACGCTCAGGAACAGGCGGGCGGGAGTGACAGGCCAAAAGGTGAGCAGTTCATTTCGCTTGGTTGCTCGTTCATCCTGTCCTTATCCTACATCCCTGTTGCCACATGGCCGGCCGGGTTCCTGTGACGCATCACATTCGTCAATTTCCCTGCAACACCATCTGCTGCATCTCTACCACACACTCCGCGCTGCCTTTTCCTTCTCTAGTCGTCCGTTGTCCGCTGTTGTACGCGTCTCTCCGACCTCCGCGCATGGATAGCTGCCCGCCTTTTAGCCGCATCGCTGCATTAACAGCGCAGAGGCAGGCGCAAAGGGCAGTCTCTCCACTGGAGGGCCGCCGGGATGTGGGGCAGTACCGGGGGCCTAAGCGGGCTGGCGAGCGACTTCCAAACCTCAACCTCTGCCTATATCCGTCGAAATATCGCTTGCTGCTGCACTTTTGCTCTCTGCTAGGCGGCTATGAGATTAAAGGGCCCTAGTATTGGGTTCAACTGCACCGAACGATCCATCGTCATCCTAATGGAGGGGCGGCCCCATGTTCACCAAGCGAGTTTAGATGAGAGGTCTGACTCGTGGCTTGACTTCATTTCCTATATCTTTACTATCCAACACCGCCTATCGTTGATATAAGGCCTCGTCATATGTTGGAGTCTCTTCACAGTCTTTTCAGTCAACTTGGACACCAACAATTTGTTACTTTCCTTGCTTTTCCCACATCATTTCCCGGCCGCCTCAACAACAAAAGACAGCACTCCACAACATAGCAGCAGAGCTATCATCTGTCTGACTCACAGTCTTTAATGAAACTTTACTAAGAGAAACAGGTTCAGCCTTCTTCAGATGCGAAGGGGC